TTATCATCATCATCATCATCATTATTATTATCCAAATGATCATAAAAATTTACAAATACTAATAGTCAAATCTCAACTTTCTTTATTATCTTAAATCTCAGGTCATTTATGCACTTTTTGACTGGAGTTTGTGCAATTATTGGTGGTATTTTTACAGGTWAGCAATACATCATTATAACATTTCAATTATTTGTTTATTCATTCACAAATACAATGTAAAAATCATTACCATGACCAAATCTGATCYGCATAYGAGCAAGAGATTTGTCCTRATCTGCATCGACTTGGATTTTGTCTWAAAAATGATTTTTACYATACTTGTAAATCCTTGCGTACTGATTGGCTGATAAGAGTGTGTCAATAAKAGGACRTGCACRCTGTGYGAACACCATCACGTCTCGCGCGCTTAGGTGTATCCTGCATGAATTTAAAAAATATTTATTCATTTTGTCAATAAATCTCCTGAAAATTGTTATCTTTATCACTCCACAGTTGCTGGTCTTGTTGACTCCATGATTTACCACTCTTCCCGTGCAATACAGAAGAAAATAGACCTTGGCAAAGCCAGCTAGTACCACAACTATATAATAGTAAATAATTATAAAGAATTCAAACAGTTATCACGAGATCTGCTTTCTTGCCAAAAACCTAGATTTTCTGCTGATGAGAGCATTTTCGWAATATGAATTATTGTAGCTAAAAATWTTGTTGTGTTGGCATGGATTTTGCTCATATGATCCCAGATGGCAAGCGTTTGCTAAGTATATCCCCTTCATAGCTACTTACAGTTTCAGCAAAGGAGTCTATACAGAACCATGTCTGTCATATTGTCCAAACTAATACACTGTAACTTGGTTAGTATAAAAAGTAATATTTGTTCAAAATTACAGCAGAAATGTTCCCATTGCAAGTTTGAGTCTTTGTTGATGTTTGTTTGTATTTAATCTTTCTTACTGGTGTTGCGCTGTTAGGAATAAATGGTATAAGCTSCACACATTGATCATTACAAACCAAAAACAMAGAGAAGTGGTRAGCTGTTTTSAAGGTGAATCAGTCCACAAAGAGCCTTTCTGTACATGCAAATGTAAATGCCCTTTCTCAAACAATATATAATTAAATGAACCTTATCGGACATCCATWTATGGAAGCTKTACRACATACTCTACTCTGTCAGACATTGCCTYCTGACGCAATTTTCCTGMCATCATGTGGACAAAACACCTGCCCTTTTGCTCTAAAGAATAGCTCTTAACAGAACAATATTTAATAGCAAAGAACCACCCACATGAACGAGGACTTAGTATTGTTTTGCGGGTTTTGAAGTGRAACTGAGTGGAGTGRACATTTGTACTTGCTGTAATTATCTGATATCATGTCACTGATGTTTGGTGTCTAGACAGTAATATGCAAATGATGTACTAAAAATAGTAATCCAGGAAGCCCAATATCATGACTAAATAAAGATGAATAAAGATCAGTCTAATCTTAGTGCATTTATACATGTAAACTGTATTATTCATAGCGATTGAGTAAAGAACTTTATATTAATTTCTATGTATCAATTTATGATAGATAATGTTGCTTTATAAGATATGTTGGGAATATAATATGTTAATGGAGTGAAATTAAATAGATAGCAAAAATATTACCAAATGATGCTTATCTCCTAAAGAGAAGCCTAAAACCCATGAAATAGATATAAGGATCAATAAACCTGTGAAACAAGGTTTGACTATTCAAGTCTAATAGTCAATTAGACAACCTAAAACAATGCATTTAGACTACCTTGATTTAAGGTGTATTAGTACAGTATCTATTTTTGAATTTTTTGAATTCACTCAAATGACAATTCACTCCATCA